GAGGGGGCCCTGAGGGAGAAGCGGGGCTCCCCGTGCCCTGGCAGGGCTCCCCACGTTCCCCAGCACACCAGCCCTGCCCCCAGCACCAGCCAGGACTTACTCGTGTCCTTCCCTTTCAGCACGTGGTCGGCACAGAGAAACTGGGAGAGATCCTCTGTCTGGTGGTGCCGGTACCAGTCCTCAATCACGTCTTCATACTCCTCCACCAGCACATCGCACTAGTGCAGAGAGGAGAGCTGAGCTCCAGCCAGGCACTGCCCAGGCAGGACCAGGACTAGGGCAGCAGGTCCTGCCAACACCCACGTTCCCAGCAGCGCACCCCCAGACCCTCTCTCCAGCCCACAAGGCTATGGCAGCCACCGAGGGCCAATCCCACCAGGCCAGGTACCTGCTTTTTGAGGTCAGCCACCTCAGCAGAGGTCTCGTTCCACAGCTCGTAGGGAATGTCCATCACCACCTTGACGCCCTTGTGCACCAGGTTGTGCAGGGTCTCGAACGTCTCCGACATGCCCTGAGGGAGCAGTGCGGCCCAGTGAAGCAGTGTTCCCCCCACTCTCCTCTCCCCGCACCGGCTGTGTGACCCTGCCCAGGGACACAGGTATGTGCCAGCCAGCCAAAATCAGGGTCTCTGGGGCATAAGTGTTCCCAGGGGGGAGTTCAAGTGGCAGCGAGTCCCACTCTGCAAACCCGCTCCCAAAACCAGCAGGAAGATGCAGACCAGGGAAGACAGGCTTGTGCCTTGGCTCTGTCCATGCAGGCAGGGGTGGGGGCCTGCACACCCCCCAGGGACAGTGCCCCACACCTGACTTGGGGGCAGCACGGCCCCACATGCTGGGCACTGGCAGGGAACGCAGGGGATGGGGAGAATGAACCCCGGTGCAGCACCCCGGCAGCGCAGGGGCGGGCGAGGGATGTGGGGAGCGGGGGCTGGGGGGCCAGCCCTCCCCTTTGCGAATCTGTTCCTGCCACTCCTCTCCTTGTGCAGGTTGTAATCCAGCAGCCGCTTGCAGATGTTCTCCGTCACCTCGATTAACCGGATGTCCCTGCATGAGGAGGAAAGAGAGTCTGGGCTTGGCACTGCCCCCCAAGAGCAGCCAGGGTCCAGGCAGCGTGGTGGGGAAGCGCTCTGTGCCTCCCAGCCTCCCCCAGGCAGGAGGAGCACCCCCATCTGCCCAGCCCACCCCACCAGCCCTGGCAGAGTTCACTTCTCCCAGAGGAGCTGTGTGCCCTGCAGCCTGCCCACAGGCTCCCAAATGTCCTGGCTCTGCAGACCGCAGGCAGCAATTTTTTCCCCCCCCATCCCACCCTCACTTACGACTGTGTGTACTTGACGGCAGAGCCCTTCCCGTCCAGGAAGCCATACTTGGTGTCAATCACCTCCTTGGTCTTGCCAGTCTCCTCAAAGGCAGATTTCAGTTCCACTGCCACATACTTGCACACTGTGGGAAGGAAAGCAGAGGTGGGTTGGGGGGTTTTGCCACTCTGGTGGGCAACAACAACACCCAGGGACAGGACATCAGCAGAAACAAGCGTCGGGAGCACTGGAGCCGCTGTGAGCAGAAAACGGACGCCAGGGCCATTCAGAGAGACAACTGGGAACGGTTCAGCTGATTCCACTGGAGATGCCTTGAAGCAGGAACACCCCCATTCATGCTTGGTGCAAGCACACCCACGCAGCCAGCTGCTGCAGCACAGCTGGGCAGGCAGACAGTGCCAGCTCTGCCTGCAGAGCTCCCCACAACCCCTGCGCCACAGCTGCTCCTTTCCACCGGGAAGAGAACGGGGTCTTTTCGCACCCCAAGCCCCAGTGTGGGTCGCAACTCCTCCTCGTGACACTGGCACATCCCACCCAGAAACAATTCCACCTGGGGACACGGGGGCTGTGGTGGGGACGAGCAGCCGGCTGGGCTCAGCAGGGCAGTGGCAGGACAAGGTGTGGTCTGTCACCACACGAGGGGCTGTCAGCACCAGCAGCACAGCGTGGGGCACAGACTGCAGCACCAACAGCTTTATAACACAGCACAGGTTTTCTTTTATAAAACTTTAAAAGACAAAAGGAAACAAAAGCTTTATTTCTTCCGTAACAAGGAGTCCAACAGAGCTAGAGAAACAGAGAGCAGAAAACAAATGTCTCGGGGGTTTACAAGTGGAAATGTGGAGGGATGGAAGCCAGGCACAGCGTGGCCATTCCTCTCCAAAGCTGGGGTCCCGGGAGGCCAGAGAAAGTGTTGTCCTGTGCTGCGGGCTCCTGTTTGCTGGGAGCCTCCTCTTCTTCCAGCCCCTTGTCCTAAACAAGGGCCAGGCCCCAGAAGGAATGGTCTGACAGCGATGAGCCACCGCATCTTCTCCCAGGCAGTGATCTGAGCAGAGAGATGTGCCGCTGGCAGTAAGAGAGTGAGGCGGCTTCTCCAGGGCTGCCACGCAGGTGCCAAGCAGCCCTGTGTGCACCTCCTGCGCTTCCCTTTCTCTGCTGGCACCAGGGGCCGGTCGCAGCTGCTCCTCAGGTGGGACGAGTGCTCCTTCCCGCAGCCCCTCTGGAACCAGGCCTGGAGGACGTCCCTCTCCACACCACACCAGCCGCAGCATCCCCACGCGTGCCAGGAGCACTCACCGCTGGGTCGTTATCCAGGGGCTGCCCGCGGTGGTCCCTGCGCTGACACAGGTCCCGGGCC